TTTTTTTTTAATTGCTTATGAACGTAGTCGCCGGTGAAAGTTGTTAAATTAAACAGTTGAATTTGTTGCGAAACAATCGACAATCGCACAACAGTTGTGCAATTGTTTAGTCAAAGGAGTACGCCAACTCATAGTAGTAAAGCCATTGGCTGGCGTTTACTAAGTGTCTCTACTACTAAGACCCTGAGTAAAGTCTAGGAGTTAAATATTCAATTAATATTCATCTAATCACACTGACGTGAAGTTGCCGATTTCGCATCCAAAGAATCTAATGATTTAGTTCCTTGAAGTTATCAAGTAAATAATTACCTGACTAGTGCAATTCCCGAGCCGAGATCGAATGCGAACTCCACGAAATAGTCTCTGAGATGCAACGAGAAGAAATCCCCGTCGCCGCTCGGCCGCTGAGAGTCGTACAATACAAGACCATCTCCACTCGTTGGCTTCAATGTTATCTGGAAGTATACAATCGAAATTGTTAATTATTTTAGAACCATTACTGCTTACTATAAATGTTTTTAATTATATAATTAAATTTAGTTTTTTTTTATTTAATAATATAAGATGGCAAACTAGCAAGCGGCCACATAAATCGTTGTATATCACAATAAATCGCTAATGCGTTGCCTACCCTTGACGGAGAAGGAGACGCACATAAAGAGGACATTTCCCGGTCCTATGCGTCTCTTCCGCCGTCAAATGTACTTTTCCTTCCCATGCTTTCCTGTTAAGAAAAGGGTGGAAAGGGAAAGGGACTTTAATTAGGCCTTCGACACCACACTCCTTAGATGAAAACCCGGAATTGCTTCCACTTTACGCCTGTTTTCTGTGTGGTCGTGGTATTACTGGGGGCGAGCCGGCCCATTCGTGCGAAGATGTTAAAGTGGGCTCTACCACTGTTAACGAAACGTTCTTATGAAAAGTCAAAATATTTTTTAGATCAATCTAAGTAATTCTTTCTAATAATTTTATGGAGAAAACGTTTGATAGACTATAAAACAATTTTTTACAATTATATAACCAAAACATGTTCATCAACTTAAAATTAAAACAATTACCAAATTACCGTACACAAGTTCTTTCTAGAGCTAACGATGTCACTTAGGATAGATTAAGGCCCTGTCCCACTACTGGCTGATACAGGCTCAGATAGCTTAAAAATGACGTCACTGTCAGATAAGGTAACAAAATCCGATCACATATTTTACACGTTGTATAGTTATGAGACAAATTACAATTTGGTGGGACAGGCCCTTAGTATCTCATTATCTATTTACACATTAAGACACTGTCTTGTTAATTAAAAGTTCATAATAAGTGCACATAGATACGATAGAAAGTAAGTTTTATTTCGTCGTATCTGAACTGATCCCAAGAAAACGTGAAGTTTGTTTCAAACTACGAGTGGAACAAAGTTTCCGCTCTTCGTATTTATCGGAAAATTAGCTCGTAAATTTTAATTGCTTACGTTTTCTTATTCCTATTGAAAGTAACAAAGATAACAATAATCTACACGAATATTATAAAGAGAAAAACTTTGTTTGATTATAACGAATAGGCTCAAAAATACTCCGCCGATTTAAAAAATTCTTTCACCGTTAGAGAAGTAATTTATCTGTGAGTATAGGCTATATTTTTTCATTTCTTTATTACTAGTTTTAAGTTTCAAGCGCGCTGAGTCGCGGGCAAAAGCTATCTTTTATAGCGTTAATTGAGGACCACACTTATATTCGTTTTATATTAATTTAAACGTTCATTGATTACTCAGTGTAGCTTTCTAAATAAATGGTGAATTAAGACGATAAGAGACTGATTAAGGGATTCACTTAATGACCACTTAACTCTGTAAAACTTCAACAAAAAAACTCTTATTGCTATATAACTAAGTTGTAAATATAATATTAAATATATACTAATGGACTCATTTAGTGTCTCTGAGTGCGGCAGTAACACATTTGTAAGACATAATGAAGACATGAAACTTATAAGTACGTCTTTACGCACACGTTTGCATACAAAGGTCGGTATCGATTGACCCAATTTTGACAATTTAACTCTAACGTACCTGTTAAGGTGCTCAATGGCCCTCTTGGGGTTCAGTGTAATTGTCTATCAAATAGTTTTAATTTCGTGGAAATAGATGAAATAAGGAACATTTTTGTTAGAACACAGTTGACGTTTACCAATTATGTGTATATCAGTTACTAGCTCGCGACTTTGTCCGTGTGAAAGAAAACAAATACATAGCCTATATTACTCACTGATAACGTAGCTTTTTAATAGTGAAAGAAATTTCGGAATCGGTTTAGTACTTTTTTAGTTATTTCAATACATACAAAAACACAAATCATTCGTCTTTATAATAGTATAGATTTGTACAAAATACATTGATGTATTAAACATACCTGTATGTCAAGCCAGGATTGCGCCGAGTTACCAAGGCTGGGAAGACGAAGGTATGATGAGCCATTGAAGCGAGGAACCTGTAAATAAAACAAAGGTAATATAGACATATGAAAACCATGAAATCATAGAGTAAATTAGACCTTCTTCCGCTGTACTTAAAAGCTACAATCGCTTAATACTTCCGTGCATTTTAAACGGTAGTCTTTTTGGAATCCAAGGATATCAGGCCACTTGTCTTTGACACTTTATACAGTTAAAAAAAAGAACAAAGAAAGGGCTAGGAATCTACGTACTTTTAAATCCAGTGTTATTTCGCATCTAACCCCAGCATATCCAACCGGACACAAACAAACTCCACCAACGCAGCCACCGCCGTGTTCGCATTCACATTTCACATCTTTTACTTCATCACTTTTAATTTCATCAACTTTACCTTCATCACCTTTCATATTTAAATCATTATCAACATCAAGAAGGAAATTCATTTTCTTATAATCGTACGGTTTGTACATATCAAGGGAGTTATCCATTTTGTTTTGCTCGTCTGTTGTTTTCGCATCTCTCATTACAATATCGTTGTCTTCGAAATGTACTATATCATTAATATCGTATATTGCGTGATTGTCTGAATGCTTGTGGTGTACTGTTTCGCTGGTAGTCGCTTCTCTGTACGGCTTCCAAGGTGCAAGGGTCGGTGCACATTCCGCTGTAGAAAACAAAGTTACGTTTGAAGTACAAAAGATAGTCTCTTAGCCTTAACATCCTTATTCTGGATTTCTATTCCCTTAATAAAACATGTAGCTATCTTTCTTATTCTTCTTATGAAAAAAAAAGACAAGAATGTTCACATTTATGTAATCTTTTTATATTAACAGTAAAATATTATTAAACGTATTTAACATAAGTGTCGCGATTACGTAAAATTATTTTTTTTTATGTTTGTTAAATAGTATATGGTATAGGTATATGTTTGTCCATTCAAATTTTTTTATATTTCCACAACAAGAGCGTAATGTATGCGACCGGCGTTCCCTAACTCAGCTACATCTGATTTATACCAACATATTTCTACGTTTGCGTGTGGTCCAAGTTATAAACGAATTTCATGATCACATATCTTGCAAAATATAACTCCGCTCTTGGTAAGTATTTTTTTAGTTATAGCAACTATATTATTTTAGTAAATTAAATTTAACGTAAAATTAGAAACCAATATAGAGGTTAAGCCGATATTTATTGGTATAAACATTTATAATACGTTGGAAACAATCCGAAAACATCTCTTGTTACGGCAAACAGAGTAAAAAGGATATTTTATTGAGATTGACGTATGGAACACTAGCAGGTATTCACTTAGACCACACGGAAACTCTCACATTTCTCTTCATTTGTTGAAAACGTGAGCGGACTCCGTCAACGAGAATGTCGATGTTTCGGAATTAGTGGTCATTTGTTACTCTGACTATGTACTAGTCAGATAATGTTAAACAGTTCATAACAAGTTAAAAAATAGATAAAAATGCAATAAACTGACTGTTCTTTATCTATAAAAACATCAAATGACACCTTAGTCTCCAAAATAAAGTGCAGTTGAATACTTGGCGCTTATCTGTTACCAGTCTTTAATAGTTTGTTTTGGAATTGAGATGAATAGAAAGCTTTGGAAGCACCCGGTTTACATCATTCTAGTCCAGGTAACAACATTAGCGCTGAATTACAAATGATCAACACTAAAATCAACTGCATGGGTTCCAGTTTGTATTACATTTTCCCAGATGCAATCCAGCGCTGATTCCAATATACTGGACTGAAATAATGTAAACAAAGTAGTATATTTGTTACTTGTTTTGCGTCTATCATTAAATTAATAATCTCCCAACTTCTTTTATAAGTTTTGTGTTAATAACTTGCTAGGTTTGGGAGTAAACAATTTTCTTTGATAGATATTTTATCGAAATCGGCCTTGCCGTTTCGGAGCTGGAATAAACGCGGCCTGTGGACAGACAGACAAAAAAAAATGTGATTTTCAATATCAGCACCGCAAATACATCATCTTCCCGATATCTGGAATTTTCTTTTGATATTACAAACAGACACCCCGATTTTATTATATTTTATTCGCTATAAAGTTTTTTAAAAACACGCATTGCAATTTTACCCTTTTATTTGTATGCATAGAATAGAACAATCGGGTTTGTTGATAGAATGCAATTTTTTAAAATGTCATCGCCCCCGCCGCGGCGGCGCTTGACAATGCATTTCTCGCTCAAACATGGCGCCCGACACATTGTTTGCCGAATGAAACATTCTGAATCCGAACGAAGCTGAAGTTTTTCGTTGATTTACTGCAAAGATGTCTGGACTGAGCGTTTGATTCATTGTGCTTGGTATTAACTTTAAATGCATCAATTTGATTTGTACTCTAATTACATTATTTTATTTGCCGGTGGCCTAATTTTAGTCCCTTTCCCTTTCCACCCTTTTCTTAAGAGGTAAATATGGGAAGGAAAAGTGGATTTGACTGTGGAGGAGACGCATAAGAAAGGGAAATGTCCTTTTTATGTGCGTCTCCTCCTCCGTCATTTAAGGGTAGGCAACGCATCTGCAATTGCGGATGTTTATGGGCAGCGGTCGCTTTCCATTTCGATGGATTCAGGTGTTCACTTGCTCGTTTGCCACCTTTTATTATAAAGAAAAATCAACTATAAAATGAAATGATTCAAGAAATAGTTAGACATTTCTGCTATACTGACTTACTAGCCAATTGTGAGGTTTAAGGTATTCGATTACCGTGACGTCAGTTGGTATTGTTTTTTTATGGCAATTATTACAGTTACTCTTTGAACCACTGGTCATAATCAACTTCCTGGGCTCATTTCATTCACGTGAAGTTGGTGCACAAAGTTTTACATACCGTAATGTTTTGGCTGTTGAGACACCATAAAGTTTTATTAGTATTCTAAATGAGCGTGTTTTAAAATTCCATTGCTATAAAACGCTGCTTAGACGAAGGTTAGAAAACTTATTACGCGGTAACGTGGGGTGTAAATCTTAATTTAGCGTTGCTCGCCTTTAGTACGGTCTCAGGTGCTGAGGGTTCTTTTATTTAGCTCGCCTCTGTACGTGGCCATAAAATGTTTTAATAATTTCCTATTTGTACGCAATTAAATATATTATATGAGAACTTGAAAACCGACTGTTAAGTGCTACATACGAGGACTGGAGTTTAAACTGTTTATTCAATAAATTACTTTCATAAATGGAAATTAAAAATGTCTTGTGTGTTTTTCAAATGGAATGGAAAATGCTGTAGATTGACAAACATGTTTACTAGTATCTCTGAATATGATAATAAATCTAAAAGCATTTAATATTTGCTAACTAATTGAATAAAAAAAGTAATTACTTAAGTGAAAATAGTCTACATTTAACGTAACATATACTTATTTTAACATTATGGTACTTACAAGAAATTTTAAAATATTTAAACAATGAAAAAGAACTGAATATACATTTTCCGTGTAAATTTTGGCGCTCAATTCAATACTGTTTGTGCAAAGAAAGAGAACGTTTCAAACTCAATCGTAAGCTTCACAGGTTCTATAAAATGATTGGACAAATCGATTTAGACGCTTTGTGCTCGAAAATAGCGGAAACGAAAGTATTAGAAATTTGTGCACTATGATTTTGCTGAAACTAGCTTAATAATAATAATAAAGATTATTGTATAATCATTGATTACAGGATAAAAATCGGTTTGGCTCATTAACTAGGAAATCCTGTGCTTAAGGAGCCAATGCCTTCCCTTTCAGGTACATTTAACAACAAAAAGAAAAAAACTAAAGTATTGAAACCATACAGATTACAGAAAAAAAACTTACTGTTAATTAGTAATTATAAATTAAACTTAAAGAAGCTGAATGTAAGTTTGACACTCAGTTCCAAATTTAAATAACGATTGAAATGTATTTTAACGTAATTTGGGTTCTTAGAAAGTCTTTAGTTTTAATTTTTTTTAGATAATTTTTTAACATCACTTACTTTCATCGATATATCTTTTAAATCTTAGGTTTTACTTATTTTTCCCAATTGCATCAATTTTCATTCACAACATTTAATATTAAGATATTATAGTTTAGCTTATAAATTGGACCACACGCGCGATTTTGGTTGAGTCGCGCAATTTTTCGTAAAAGACCCCTCGTTAAGGCAATGACCGGTCGGACCATTTGCGATCTTATTAGACTATGAATTTTGTTTATCATATTACCTAAAATTGACCTAAGTTATATTTTAGTGCCGCCAAATGAAGGTTGCATGGTGTTAAAATAACTTTATTTTAATTGCAGCTTAAGATAAATATTCCGTAAAATTATGTACCTACATAAATAGATATAATGAAATTTTATTAAGTAACAAAAAGCGTATGTTACATTAAATTTTACTTAGCATAAAAAGTAACGGTATGAATTCATTAACTTTTATTTAAACACAATGCTGACTAAACACTATGATAAAAAGATATAAATAAATAAAATTTTTATTGCCACAAAAAACAACATAAACATTTAATACACAAAACCTTAGAGCTAATATAAAAAAAAGAGAGTGAAATGTGGCAAAAGGTGGCAAGCTCAGCTAATGCAGCGACGGCGCAGGCCGTTACTGCGCTGGTTTTCAGCTGGCCCCTTTACACATGAGTATTAACACATAAGTAGGGTGGCAACCTAGACAGACATTAAAATAATAATAAATAAATAATATATTAAGGTTACAGTTTTGTTCTTTTTTAAAGGCTAGATAATATTTTTTAAAGATAATTAGATGATGACAATATACGATTTTTAGCGTGGCAAAACTACTTACCGATATCTTGTGTAGATATAGCATCTTTCATCAGTCTGTACGTATCGCCGTTTATTCTCAGAAAGTCGACGCATCCGAGCAGACCTTCAGAGAGACTCAGCTTGTTCTGCAGTCCAGTCGTGTTGCCAGCGCCACCGACCCATACTGGCTCCCGGAATGTCATCCGGGAAAATAGACCCTAAAGACATACAGCACGGTTTAATTTCGTTTGGCAATTTTAATGAAAGTGAAGGAAATTAGAAATGTTTCCTTAACCAGCCATTAAGTTTATGAAGAAGAAAAGGAAGAAGTCGCATCTCTTTTTTCTTTACTTTGATGAAAGTATTGTCTACTAGTTGCTGCTCGCGACTTCGTCCCGGTGAAATTAAAAAATAACAAAAGAGAGCGTATGTGACTCACGGATAAACTACCTTTCTAATGGTGTAAGAATTTTTAAAATCTGCCAAGTAGTTTTTGAGTTATGTCAATACATACAAAAAACAAATCTTTTCTTTTTATAACGTTAGTATAGATAACTTTGATAAAAAATAATAATTTAAAACTTTAGAATTGAATATAGGAATAAAATCGCTACCGCGCCCGCTGCCGCTTTTACCTCGCGCCGTAGTTAATAACGGCTCATTAGTTACCCTTTTAGACGTAACTTCTTTAATGAACGAGCCTTACTTAAACGTAAAACAAAACTGGTTTTCTTTGGGAATTACACAAATAGGTACATTTTCACACTTTTCTTTGTATTATTGTTGTTTTGTTTTATTAATGATCATTTAGAACAATTGAAGTTTGTTAAAAGAAAAATTGAAAATATAACCAAACAAAATTACGATTATAACTCGAAATATTAGTACCATAAATAACGATTTATCCTTTTTCTATATATATATATATATATACTAATGTTATAAAGAGGAAAGATTTGTGTTTTTGGATTATTTTATGTATTGAAATAACTCAAACACTACTGGGCCGATTTTACAAATTCCTTTACCATTAAAAGCTACGTTATCACTTAGTAGCATAGGCTTGTTTTTTAATTTCACGTGGACGAAATCGCGAGCAACAGTTAGTATCTGTACTAAAGTAATAATTACTGGACAGATTATTTTTTACCGTTAAAAAGCTACATTATCAGTGAGTAACATTGGCTTATTATTTTTTTTAAGAAAAGAAGGACGCAAATTATAAAAAAACGCAATTTATAACATTAGTTGGGCTACACTATCCTTACAAAATCAGTGTGCATTTTTCATACATTTTGAATGAAATAATTGCGTTACATTATACCAGCGTTCGCCCGTGACTCCGTCCGCGTGAAATTACAAAAAAGAAAAGTGAGTAGCCTACGTGTTCTTCCAGACTACACTCTATATCTATACCAAATTTCATCGAAATCGGTTTAACCGTTTAGGCTACAAACTCTAACAAACATTCATCTATCTATCCATCCATCCATCCATTTAAACTTTTGCATTTATAATATTAGTATGAAGTATGATTATTTTACGTTAATTAAACAAGAATAAGAAACCTTACTTTTATATAAATTCTATCCCACATATTTCAAGGAAAGCCAAGCTTGAAATATCAGCGTAGCTTTTGCCGTAAAACTTACTTACGCGTTTGAAATAAGAGAGAATTTCGGTTCACAGAGCATAAGTAATATATGTTTTCTGTGTAAATTTCATTACCTACCTATACAACTTTATTTTTGAAATTTACCAGCGCGTGTTTAAATCTATATAAATGTAACATGATAACATTAAGATAACATTTAGATGTCTACTAATTTTCTATCAATAGTAATAAAAAAATAGAAAAAAAGTTATAAAAGAAAATGGCATTTTTCCTTGAACAGTTTCATAGCATTAACAATGCTGGCAACTTAATTTATAAATAAAAAACAAGTATAATTAATCGACTAAAACTCGAGAATCGCGACATAACCTCTATCTTACAATTTTCAAGTTTTAAAAAGCTTAACATAACGTAAATCCCAGTACAATACACAAAGATAACATCTCATCTTTTGTAATTGCGAACGTATAACGTAATTTGTGAAACGTTTTGAAACGGCAAGGATCGGGGGCCAATTAAAATTTAATTAGCCAAGGAAATGTATAATTCAAGAACGGAGCGGTTATATTACAGAAGGTGAAAACTTCGAGGGCGACGGGAAAATTTTAAAGGTGAGAATACACTAAACTGGCCGAGCAATAGCCGAACACGAGCCGAGCTTAAATGTAAAGCCGAGAGAGTTACGAGCCCGGAACCTGCGCGGTTTGAGCGCTTGGATTGTGCTTAACCGTGGCTTCCAGAAAGTAAAAGGTTCTCAAATTCATCTGTATATTTCTTAAATTAAAAATGAAACTGTAAGTGGAGAATAAATATTGTTTATTGCTCATTGTACGTCCATACTTGGCACGGCGAGTAGAGGCAGATAGGGGTTCAGTCGTGCTCGGCTTGTGTAGCGTAGACATTCCTTAAGTTGACGTTTAATTTGTTTTATTTTTTCATGTTCTATTTAAAAATACGA